GGAGAAAGAGTGTATCCCTACCGATATGGGAATTCCGCAGGTTCCGCGGTGAAAGAATGGATCCGTACCGATTCAGGGAAGTCCGTAGATTTCGCAGAATCTGACGAAACGCACGGCGTGCGGGGCTCAGTCAATATCTGTCAAGTCTGAGCGATTTCGCCAATTCTTCCAATTTCGCGGAATCTGCTTATTCTTCCAATCGATACGCATATATTCTTGTTGTGCAGAATCTTTGTGTGAACGCGGTCATCAGGAATGTTCTGCCCAAGCCAAAAGGGAAGATGCTAGGTGAACCAGTTTTAAGCGCAGCGCAGCCCCACTCTTCTAAGGATGATCCCAGTTTTGCGCAGGGTGTCCTTCAAATGTCCCTCCTCAAGGTTATGAGCACCAATTTTCATAGAATAGATCATTTTATAAATTATTATGTTCATTTTTTCAGACGGATCGTCGACCACGGTCACCTCCTCATCGCAATCACGATGTGCGTACTCCGCCGCGTAGAAAGCCAGCGACTCCACCACCAGCCCCACAGCCGAAGCCACCCAAGCAGCCTCGGCCAGCAGATCGAGAATTGTCGGATGGCGAGATTCTATCATCTGATGAAGACTAAGGTGGAAAGAGGCTATATGGAGAGCGTTTAATTTATACTTTTTCATATTGTTACAATGGTGAGTTCATGTGTTAGTAGAAGGATTTGGCGGGTTACTCACATTTTCTACTACGTTATTTTATCACTCGGCTTTGTTATCTGTACAAATTTTGTGAAGAGCGCGTATAAAAATCAAGAAAAAAAAACAATCGCTGCCGTAGCGGTGAATTATGGCACTTTTGTTGTACTACTACTAGCCCACATCGTTTTACTCATTTTCATATTGTATTTCGTTTATCCCCATGTGGAAAGTTGTTTTTCTGATGAATTTGTTGTTGTTTCTATGTTTCTAACGTTGTAAACATTTCATCGTTAACCAGATGTTTATCTATGTATTCCATGTTTGTAATATAGTCGATCTCTGTATGGTGTTGATGAAAAAACCGTACTATAAACAAGCTTATCAACTCATTACACATATGAATCACATTTACCCGCATTTGAAATTGGTGTTTAACAATAATGATTCTATTTTCACATGAGATCCATTTATCAAAGGACGCGTTTTGCTCGCCAATTTGTGAAATCTGCATCACCATCGTCACTGCCTTCATCTTCATCTTCTTCGACTGCGGCCTTTTCTCGCGCCTGAATCAAATCGGAGCTTAATCGTTATTAGCGCTATGCCAACAGACGCGACATTTACCAAAATTGTGCTCTGGTTTCGTCGGAAAAAGATGAAACCTTTGGTGTTAATCAGTCTTTATTATGCGCTACGCATTCTATGTTCATTCTTAATCTTAGTGACTTTTCAGGTGTGATTAGGTCCATGCAAAAAAAAAGAAAAAAATTAAATGTGGTATAGAAAAACCCCTCAAAAAAACGAACAAAAATGTTTGTCTCATCGTCTACACAGACAATGCGTCTGAATAGTCGCGAGGCCAGATGAGCTTGAAAAAAATCGCAGATGGAACTACTGAAGAGCCCTGGAGTTAGAAGAATCAACAAATTGCAGATTAGAGGAATGCAGAAAGAAGATTAGACAGATATCAATCGGAGAATCGAAAAATCGAAGAGATGAAGAATTGCAGAACTGATGAATTCCAGACTAGATCATTGGTATATAGTTCTCATCGCAGTTTCTTCAATTCGCAGGGGATAAACACTGCTCAATAATTTTTCTTATCATTACTGACAACAAGAAGAAAAAATATTGGAAAAGAAAAACACTCCAGAGCACAGATGATCCGTTTCGCTTGTTCCCTTAGACGAATCAGCACTGTTTCGCCAACTCCCAAGTTCATCAGTAAGGAAGGTCGACGAAACAAAAACACGGACTACACAGGAGAAGGAGATGAGAAAGAGATAATATGAGAGAAGTTATAAGATAGGTGCACAAGCAAAATAGATGCAATAAAGATAGGTTGAGTGGAAAGGGTCAGAAAGATGAAGGAAGGATATCACGCGAAGTGTGTAAAAATACGTTTAAAAGGAGAATGATTCGCTTTTACTTGATAACCAGCCGATGGAATTATAGGCATGTGACACTATTGAAAACCTAGTACCGATTTGCCGGCTTCGGAACGATTGTAGGGTGGGTCGGCCCAGACGGGACCTAGCGCGCGAGAAGAAAGCGGCGCCACTCAACTCTAAATGAGTTGAAGTCGTGGTAATGTGGTCAAACCATCATTTGGGCCAGTAATTGATTTACCGTTAGAGAATGAAAGCAGGAGAGTAGGAGGGCAAATGCACCAGACGTGCAACTTGTTAATTCTCAGCAATTCAAAAGCAGGTGGCAGGCTCGACACTAGGACAAGAAATCAGACTACAGCGAGTGAGAAAGCAAACAGCACACAAGCGATACGTTGGATAACATTATAACAGGAGTTATACTGAAAAGGGAGCTGTCGGAGTTTTGTCACAACCCTCTGGAGTCTTACAAAGCACTTTGAGGTGATGCACTATGAGGTTCCAGACTTGCTACTTTCAAAAGATCCCATGAGCCAGTTAATTATGTGTCCTATGGTGATTGAAGGAGGGTGAGATGAGAAAAAAACTGTAGTAGTTGTCTATAGGAACATGCAAACAACTAAGGGGGCAGGGTTTCTTCGGAAAGAGTACTGCCGAAGAATATGCAGCAAATTTGTTTCGTAAAATGCAGTGTTTCTAGTAAAAATCGTTTACAGAGTAGCCCCAAAGAGATGTGGAATTTGCCAGAACCCAAGTCTCAGAAAAATCTTGACTGGATGATGATCGGTTACCTCTTGAAGCCTCGCTTCTTTCAACTTCTCCATAGCATTCAACCGCATCCACTTTTCCATTTGTTCATCGGCATTTTCAAGATCACGCAGTAAAGCATCTCGTTCTTCCTCTTCTTCTGCCTGGACAATAAAGATGTCTCTGTCGCCGCTCAGCAAAAGTTGAGCAAAAAGAGGTAGAACAATAAGTGGAGAGAAACTTACCTTTGCTTCCTCTTCTACATTTTTCTCGGTCAATTCACGCATCAATCGTTCGTATTCCTCGTTCATGTGAGCTTCGTTAACGATGGTTTCTCTTACCTCAAAGGTAAACACTCAAGAAAAAAGGAGGATGTATATCAAAAGATGCGGCAGTTACCATTCCATCTTTTCTCTTGTCGTCGAAGAAGCCTTGCGGAACTCCTTCGATAATTCCTTTTCGCTCACGAAGAAGAGCAGCCTCATCATCTTTCGATTTTGCCAGATGGTGTTTGAATGCTGTATCACAACGATCAGGATATGAATTAAATGCATCGACGCAACTACAACAGGTAAAGGATACTTTAGTCCAGGTTTCTTCGTCGGAAAAAATCTGAAGGAGAGCGCCAGGTTGATGGCGGTGGCGCTGGTGATTCTGCAACAAAAAATAAAGATTTCAAGAGGATTCATAAAATGAATGATTAAATAGAGTCACCTTTCATCTTTTTTACTGGTGGTGCTCCATTCTGCATGGATGATATGTCGACTGGCCGTTTGGCACTGGAGGCTAACTGCTGTTTGAGCCTCTCGCAGGACTCCTTGTGCTTCTTCCCGTTCACATGAGCGGTCCATATCTTTGGTTTCACCTGTAGCAGCCCAGACAGTTATCAGCAAATGAAGGAATTGGTTTTCAAAGATCAAGTCATTGAACAAAGCACGTTGTAAGAACTCACAGCTGAAAGATTTGGTCAACCCTAAACGCATTTATAGAACACGCCCTTCAAACATGAAAGCTGTTAACATTATACGGGCCAAGCGATGGTCGCGAGATATGCGGGATCCTCCTGTGAGGGGCTACTAGATGTTTAAGGCCGAGGAAGGGAGGAAAGAGGGGAGGGGAGGGAATGGAGCGCCAGCGCCATATTTGCAGCCAGAAAGGCTCGTCCTCTCGCTCTTGTGCGGCTCTAGACCACCCGTTCCCCACTCCACGGCAGTCCCTAGAGAGGGGAAAAAGCAGCAGCAGCACTTCTGGATCTGGAGGGAAGGAGGTGGTTAAAGAGGAGATTTCGAGAAGATTCGTATTTTGCCTAACTTCCCTAACGGCAGGGCGTGCCCAGGACGTGTTTAGGGAACAAAAGGACTGTATTTCTACAGAAGCCATAATAACGGACGGGAAGGACCCACTCGTTTGCGGGCTTTCACCTCCATATTCCTCCAAATTTGTGAGTTTCAGATTAAGAAAGATATTCCGGCATATCAATCTTAAACGTTCCAGTAATGGTGGAACCTGAGAAAAAGAAATGCTAATCGTTTGCGGCGGAAAAAGATCCCAAATAAAGCTTGATGTCCGATCACATAGATGATATGTGATGTAATACCTTTGTCACTCATTTCTTTGGAGTCTAAACGCCCTGAACTTGCGTATAGTGCGTATTCGTACTTGAATTGACATGATGCTACTTCTGACTGCCAAATGCTATTCTCCGCAAAGGTTGTTACAAAAAAAACGAAAGAAATAGGGGAGAAAACAACTAAGAATTAGAAGTAGAATGTCCTCACCTGCATATTACATACAATACATTGCACCTGCCCATTGCTGGTTGGTTTAGCAATTGCTGGGTTCAAATTCAAGCTTGTTAACGACATTCTGAAAAAGACTTGTTTATTAACAAACAACCACGTTTAATTTCTTTTTTTATTTAAAGGTAACCATTTTCTTCCGAAGGAAAAATTTCGCCGTCGCATTTTCGTTGTCTGCAGTTGCGTAGAACACATTACATTTGTCGCCTTTTTGGTAAGATGACGTCTAAATTCTGGGTGATCTTCTTCTGTGTTATATGATTCCAGCTTTCGTTGGATGACAACTTTTTTTCCGCAGATATAAATGCTTGTGAACTGTGCGTATTTCAGATGAAGTGGTTCGCTGGGTCTGTGAGTACAGCGGTGCAAGTATCGCGAAGAAATAATGCGCTCTTCATTGTTTTTATTGAAAGCAAAAATGGTAAAGGAGAGAAGATGCGCGAGCTCTGGGACAAGGTGAGGCTCTATTACTTTTTCAATGTGATGTGATTTTCGAAACTTGACGTCAACCGAAAGAAATCATCCAAGTCCCATCTGGAGATTGTACGTGCAACAGGCATTAAACCGAAAACATTAGTAGCTATGTTACTATTTCCATAGTCGCGATGCGCTTTAAGTAATCCAAACCATGCATTGCTTACCCTTCGAGATCGGTTGCTCAGCTAGTCTCTAACATCTGAAATAGATGTTTTCGGGTTAAGTAAAGCTGTGCGCCGTTTGCTTCGGTTATCAAATGAAAATTGCATATTTCAGATAGAACCGTCCTTGTTTGATTGCCCAATTGTCGGTATACATTTGATGGAAGGCGAGGAAGCTGCAAAACAGTTCGCTCAGATTTGTAAGTTGTTGTAAGCTTGTTACCTTTATAAGTGGGTTTTAAAGATGTATGGCGCTTGTTTTGAAT